GAGGGATGGGGAGAAGCAGTCTCCCCACTGAGCAGGGAACCCGACCCCGGGCTCCATCCCGGACCCAGGGATCATGCCCTGAGCTGTAGACAGACACCTAACCGGCTGAGCCACCCAGGAGCCACCAGAATGTTAGGAACTTTAATAAGTCCTAATGCCCAGCCCTGCAAATCACACTCTAGTACAGTAGTCTGATGCGAGATACTCTTGCTTGTTAGAGGAAGAGTGTCTCACACTTACGCCCCATCTCTTGGCCACAAACACTACATCCTTTTGGCTCTTCTCGACCAGCCCCCGGCTACTGCAGACTTTTGCTTGTGCTGCCTTTTCTTCCTCTGCGCATCCCCGTGTCATGGATTGGTGACCAGAAGTTTCGCTATTGGTGACCAGAAGTTTCGAGTGTGCAATCGGTGTTGAGCAAACAGTCCTTGCCAGGTGATGACCCTTGTCCTGCGAGCGGCAGATGGTGATGAGGGAGGGCCTGGAAAGGAGGAACCTCTGCTTTCCGCCATTTATTTCATAGCAGGACATACTTGCTCATGGGAAACTCCATTTTTTTTTACACAGTTTTTTCTTTTGCGTGTATGTGTGTGTGACAGTATTTTTACTTCTCTGCTGCAGCATAATGGCTGGTGTCTTAGCTCAAGTGTCCCGCAGAGTGATTTGATATTCACGTACATTACGAACTGGTCGCTGCCGCAAGCCTGGCCACCACCTGTCAGCAGACAGCACTGGCTGTCCTGTCCGTCCCCGTGACTTACGTATTTTGTGACTGGACGTTTCTGCCTCTTCAGCCCCTTCCCCTATCTCTCGGACACCAAACTGGTACCAAGAAGCAATACATATTCATCTCCTCTTTACCCATATTTTAATATCAGAAAATCCTAATAGCGTGGAACTAAAAAGCCACCTTAAAAAGCCATCTGAAGCCTTTCTTTTGCATGTGGGGATGGTGTGGCTCGGAGACGGGTCGGTGCGCACCCCGGCCACTGGTCTCAAACCCACGGCGCTCTAGGCATTGGCCCCGCTGCCAGGCACTCATTGTTTCCAGTGCTTCAAGCTGTGTATTATCCAGTGAGAGGAAAAATACATAATACGAGAGGAGCATTTTCACCCTCTTCCTCCCAGCCCTGGTTCCATTCACGGGCTTTCACTGAGCTGAAGTGGGTTATATGGGTGACGGGGTAAGACTGGAAAGGTCTAGGACTGATTTTCCCTGGAAGGGGCAGAGAGCTGGCGGGGGAGAGAGTCCATTCAGGAGGCGAGAGGGGAGGAGGAGGAAAGGAGCGCACTGTCTCCCGGGGGTGCAAAGGTGAGAGGGCGTGAGGGGGTGAGGAGTTGAGTGAGAGGGGATGGAAATATTGGGGACTTGCCGGACAACAGTGAGGGTGGTTTGAAATGGACCTTGAGGTTGAAGCGCCCTCTTGGGTGTTTGGGGGAGGATTCAATAAATGTTTTTTTTGTACTTTTCAGTTACCTTTTAGTATTTCACTGCATGAAACACAGGATTGGGATGGGCTGCAAAGTGGCCCAGCTTTTTAATGGGTGACAGGCCACATTTTAAAGTGAAGGAACTGAGACTTGGTTATGTGAAAAACTTGCGGTAGCTTGTTAAATTTATGTGTGTGCACACTATCTGGGGTGTGTCTGTGTGTGTGCATTTTCCCATGGAACGTGAAAATCAGAGAGTTGAAACCAGAGACAGGGACACAGAGAGGGTCTAGTACTCTCTAGAAATTTCTAGTAGCATGACCCAGTAGACTCCCTGAGATAAAAATGCAACTTAAAAAATGTAATTAGTTCACCTGCCGGGAAGCTGGAGAAAGGCTTAAAGTCTGAAAACAATGAGAAAGAAAGAAGAAAGTCTGAATAGTTTCATAGCCATTAGGGCAATGGAGTCAGTATTTTATTTTATTTTTTAATATTTTAACTATTTATTTGACAGAGGGCAAGATCACAAGTAGGCAGAGCAGCAGGCAGAGAGAGGGAGGGAAGCAGGCTCCCTACTGAGCAGAGAGCCCATGCGGGGCTGGATCCCAGGACCCTGGGATCATGACCTGAGCCGAAGGCAGAGGCTTTAACCCACTGAGCCACCCAGGCGCCCCTGGAGTCAGTATTTTAAAAGCCTGTGACAAATACGGCAGCTCCACATGATTTTACAGATAAATTTCACCCAATATTTAATATTTAAGATACAGATAATTCCAGTTCTGTGCAGACTGTCTAGGGAAAGGAAGCTCAAGGGAGTCCTCTCATCACTTCATGAAATGGCATTGCCTTGCAGTCAAGACCGGACAAGGACAGCAAGTGAAAGGATAATCATGTTGCTTTTATATACATTTTAGCAAGAATCATAAAATATTAACCACCCAGATACAGAATGTATTAAAAAGATAATATATCGCCACAAAGTTTGGATTGCCGAAATGTAGCAAATTTGGTTTGAGGTTGGTTAATCTAGTTATGTAATTTACCAACATTAAGAGATTACAGGAGAGGAAAAGTATCTCAATAACACAAAAAAAGGGTTCAATAAAATTCAACAACTGTGTATGTTCAAAACATTAATAAACTAGAAGAAGTGGGGATTTTTTCTTCTTATGAAGAGAATCCGCAGAAAACGTGCATTAAACAACCTGTGTGGCGGTGAATCTGTATAAAATCGAGGAAACAAGGACATCTATTACTGTCACTTCTCAGCATTGTTGTAGATATGCTAGCTTGCAAAAAGACAAGAGAAAGAAACAGAACGTGTAAGGCTGGACAATGAAGGGGAAAAACCCGTTATTTGCTGACGGGTGTTGGTTGGGATATTATTCCCCCAAATATTTACTGCCCACCCCCTGTGGGATTACACACTCCCCCCAGTTTTAGGTACATTAACTGTGAGTCCCATAGGCAGGGTTTAAGTGCCCTCCTCCTGCCCTGGGCTTGGCCATGTCACATGCTGACACCAAAGGGACGTGTTAACGTGATTGTGCCTTGTTGGCTTGGCTTCCATGTGCTCTTGTCCTTGGTTATGAGAACAGCATGTCCTAGATAGTGGACACTGTTTCAGCTTGGGATGAAGAATGACAAGCCGTGTGGAGGCCAGCCACGCCTAGCAAAATCCAGAGAAAAGCAGCCTGCCACACCTTTAATGCAACCAAAGGAATTTGTGAACTACTGGGCAAAAGCTTATTTAAAAAAAAAAAAGATTTCTGTTTATTCATTTAAGAGAGAAAGAGACAGCTCACGAGCAGGCAGAGGAAGGGGGGAGAATGCTCAGCCTCCTGGCTGAGCAGGGAGCCCAGCGTGCAGCTCGATCCCAGAACCCGGGGATTATGATCTGAGCCGAAGGCAGACACTTAACAACTGAGCCACCCAGGTGCCCCTGGGCAAAAGCTTATTGATAAATACACTGGTGATCTGAATGTCTGGAAAGAAAACCCAAAGTATGGATAGATTATTAAAATTAATAAGAGCTTAGCAATGTTCAAAAATCACTTTTCTATTTACATTTTTAATCCTTAGTAGCATACTATTCAAAAACACAATTTAAAAATCGTATTTACAATGTCATTAGCAATGTTAGCTACAAAAATTAAAAAAATATATACAAAGTCTTTATGGAGAAAATTACAAACCCTATTGAAAGACATTTTAAAAGCCCCAAATAGGTGGAGATAACTATGTTTATGTATAGGAAACCTCAGTATTACATAAATATCAACCTTCCCTAGGGACACCTGGGCGGCTCTGTCGCTTAAGCATCCCACTGTTGATTTCAGCTCAGGTCATGTTCTCAGGGTTGTGGGATGGCGCCCTGCCTCGGGGCTCCACACCGGGTGCTGAGCCTGCTTAAGATCGTGTCTCCCTCTCCCTCTGCCCTTCTCCCTGGGTTCATACATGTGCGCGCTCTCGCTCTCTCTCTCTACAAAAAAAAAAAAAAAAAGATTAATCTTTCCCACTTGGTCCATAGACTCAAAGCGATTCCAATCAGAAATACATTTCTATTTCCCTAAGCTTTTAAGTTTAATAAAAACTTTTGTAGAATAACAAATGGCCAGGAATAACCAAGATAGCTGTAAAGATACGCCGACGACTGCCTGATCTGTTTCTGCCTCTCTCACACTTTTGTACAACATACCAGACACTGATGATCCGTAGTTTTATTTTTACAGATAACGTTTATGTAGATATCTCAGAGTCAGTGTGACCTAAAATGACTACCTAAAATAACTATTTCAGGGCTGCTTCTTCTGTTAGATTCCCTGGGCTTCTGGATGCCTCTCCCATCTTCCTGGGCACCATCACTAGACACCTGGGGACGGGGCATCCAGTGCTCCTCTGTTTCTCATTCTCCATCTCTACTGCCGTTGCCTGAGTGGAACTTTGTTTTTGCCTGGACTAGTGAAAGTGCCTTTTGAATATTCTTCATCTCCTGTCTCTTCCTTCTCTCAGCCATCTTCCACTTGAATGCTAGAGTGATCTTTCTAAATCTGATCTTAACCTGGTTAAAACCCGTCACTTTCAGGATAAAACCCCAACTCCTTTAAGATTTGGCCTCTATCCTCAGCCCATCTCCCATCATAATTTCATGTGTATCTTTGCCTGGATAGAGTAGTCTAACATATGAGTTAAATTGTCCTCCTCCAGAGCATTTATGATAATGCAGTCACTGGTGGGTTTTATTTATTTATTTTTTTGCATCTGCTTAGGAAAGACAGTATCTGGTTTGTGCTAACCCTTTAGATCTTAGATGACCGTGAAATGTTTTTCCTCTCTTTGTACTTCTTATAAAATCAGCTCTTTAACTTAGTCAATCTCTGTGTGTGTGTGTGTGTGTGTGTGTGTGTGTGTGTGTAAGTAGTTTTTGCCTGAAAATAACTGTCATTGCAAAAGTTTATCATTAGCTATGTCATTTTCGGTGAGTTTTGTTAGATCTATCCATGAATATAGCCCCGACTAGTGTGGTTTAAAAGGCATGTCTAATCTGCTGGATTTAATTTTTATTTCAGTTGAAAAATCTGGATCCATTTTTACTGTTTGATGAATTTAAAGGAGGTAGACCAGGCGGATTTCCTGATCACCCACATCGAGGTTTTGAGGCAGTAAGTAAAATAATTTGACTCCAAATGTGAGTATTTTTGAATTTGCCTCTGTTATTAAATCTAGTAATCATTTCCTTTTTTTTTTTTTTGAAGATTTATTTATTTGAGAGAGAGAAAGAGTGCATGCACACGTGGGGAGGAGGGGCAGAGGGAGAGGGAGAGAAAATCTTAACCAGACTCTGAGCTGAGTATAGAGCTGTCTCAGGGCTCCATCTCATGACCGTGAGACCACAACCCAAGTCAAAACCAAGAGTTAGACGCTCAACCAACTGTGCCGCCTAGGCACCCCAAAATCTAATAGTCACTTCTTGTTTTAAATATTTACTGACTTAAGTAAACTCTACACCCAGTGTGGGGCTCAAACTCACGACCCTGAGATCAAGAGTCGCATCGTCTTCTGACTGAGCCAGCCAGGCGCCCATAGTAATCATTTCTAATAGAAAACTCAAAGTTAGAATCCATGAATAATAGTTAAATTAATTTATGAGTTCTTAGCTATAGACTAGCTACTATGGCAAGCCACATACTTTACATGAAGTATATTCAAATTTAAATATTTACTGGTTTTAATATTCTTTGAATTTGTGCAACTGGAGACATTTTTATTTGAGCAGTTAATAAGGAACAAGAATTGGTTTCTGGGGCACCTGGGTGGCTCTGTCTTTAGGGTGTTGGCCTCTTGATTTCGGCTTAGGTCATGATCTCGGGGTTGTGGGATCAAGCCCTGTGTGGGGCTCACGTGCTGGGCATGAAGTCCAGTTGGGATTCTCTTTCTCTCTCTCCCTCTGTCCCTCCCCCGTCCCCCCCCAAAAAAATTAAAAAAAAAAAAAGAATGGGCTTCTTAAAATATTTATATAATTAAAATAATTTGTGAGAGAAGAAACAATTTAAGATGTGATTTAAATAATTTTATGTAAAAAACGAGTTTTTATTCAAGAATATTCAGAAATGTGGAGCACCTGGGTGGCTTAGTGTGTTAAGCCTCTGCTTTCGGCTCAGGTCATGATCTCAGGGTCCTGGGATCGAGCCCGGCATCAGGCTCTCTGCTTGGCAGGAAGCCTGCTTCCCCCGACTCCGCCTGCCTCTCTGCCTACTTGTGATCTCTCTCTCTGTCAAATAAATGAATAAAATCTTTTTAAGAAAAGGAATATTCAGAAATGTTTAATCTCATAATATTTATACTCCAAAGACAATCCAAGAACACTATTAGTATTTACTTCTAAAAGGAATTATAGAATCAAAGGCTGAAATAGAACATAGCCTAAAAACTAGGATTTTTACGGTCATACCAATACATTTACAAATTTAACTGTAATATTTGTAGAGATGGGGTGAACACTTATTTTCAGTTTTAGATAAGGAGATAAAAATGTATAATGCAATATTGTGGCACTTTAAGAGTCTCATTTTCCACATACACCTATATTCTGAGAAAACGCGGGGACAGTTAACGAGAAAATGTAGCCATCTGCTCCACGGGAAGAACCTGTATTAGGAAACAGACCAGGGCTCAGTGTATTTGTCAAGCCAATTATTGAATGAGTAAATATTTACTAAAGACTGGTGCATGAAGGTATTGGTGTCAGGCAACCTTTTGTAGGTTGGGTGTGTGTTTGTGTGTTGGGGAGGGAGGGAGGCTAAGGAAGAAGAAGGCTTGGCCCCTGCTTGCTTCCAGTTCCCAGTCTGGTTAAGGAGGTGAAAGATGGACCGGTCAAGAGTTAACCACTGCATTGTAAAGATTGAGTAAACCAAGAAGCTTCTGGAAATAATGCGAAGGAACAAGGTAGTTGGACCAATCTCCCTTCCTCACTTAGTCATTGGCCTTCAAGTTCTCTTCTTTGTTAGCTTTTGGGGGGCATCATGTCTTGCCTTACAGTAGTAAGGGAAACCATGCCTTTCACCTACCCTACACCCATGCTGGATTCTGACTCAGTTTCCAAAACACATCTCTCCACCATGCTCCTCTGCTTCTGGTTTCAGGACATCGTCACCACCTTCTCCCACAGCTCCAGTTACCACTGTACTCGTCCCTCAAGCTCTTTTCAGATGTCACTGTCTCCATCACGTTTCATAAGACAGTCTCAAGAGGGTGCACTTTCTCCTTCGTTGGGTCCCCATAGCTTTCTATGTTTACCCGTCTCATGCACAATAGATGTCTACGGTAGCCTCGATCGTATTCTGTCTGTCGTGATTGGGGTTAGGAATGGCCTCAACCTCCCCTTCCATGGTCAGGAGGACTGAAAATTGCTTCAACTGAGATAATCCCACACCTCTCCATGTTCTGCAGGTGGAGATACTCAGCGACTATGGGCTGAATTTAATTGGATAAGAAAGATTTTGCTAAAGACAATGAGTACATTAAACCAAACGAATGATGGCACACATTGCTTTCTTTTGCATTATGGAAAGGAAACTTAATTGCCTCTATAAATTGTAATTTATAAATCGTAAGGTGCTCAACTTTAAATTGTGAAGGAGTTCAGCTGTAGCCTACTGCTGTTTGGCCCTTGACTTTTAAGTAAGAATTTTCCTTAAAACCGAAGTTATAATTACAGTCAATACTCATTATCTGTGGAGTCTATGTTCGTGAATTCATCTACTTAATAAAATTTATTTGTAACCCCCAACGCTGTACCTGTGGTGTTGGTGCTGTCTGTCATGGACGAGTGCAGAGCGGATCAGTGTGCGTGGTCCTGGCCGAGGCCCCGCTGCCTTCTCGGTTCAGCTCGCTGACTGTAAACAGGTGTCCTTGAGGTCTACTTAATACCGCATCTTCACATTCTTGTGCTTTTTGTGAGTGATTTTGCTGTTTAAAGTAGTCCACAAGCATAGTGCTAGAGTGCTGTCTAGTGTTTGAAGAGTAGGAAGGCTGTAACGTACCTTTTGGAGAAAGGATGTGTGTTAGATACTTTTGTTCAGAGTTGAGGGTAGAGGGCTGCTTGCCTTGAGTTCAGTGTTAATGAATCAACTGTATATATGTGTATACACACACACACACAAATGAGGTGTCTTTAAACAGAAACACACATAAAACAAGGTTATATATGATTGGTTGATGAAAATGTGGTTGGAGGCTCCAAGGGACCAGACCCTGTATTTTTCCCAAGAGCATTGGTTGGTTCGGTGTTCACGAATCTGATGATTGTGGCAACTTTAGAGAACATAACGACTGGGAATAACCAGAATCAACTGTATATGTTTTTCCCAGGCGTGTGGGTTAGCCAGGGGCTCCTCTATCTCTTAAGGTGAATGTTAAAAGTATGCAGTTCAAAACCAGGTGCACTTATAGGCTCTCATCAACTCCTCCTGACTCATTTTCTACAGGCTTCGTATAAAGTTTGAAAAGGCTGATTAGCGTAAAGAACGGAGCTGGGGGCGCCTGGGTGGCTCAGTCGGTTAAGCATCTGCCTTTGGCTCAGGTCATGATTTCAGGTTCCTAGGATGGAGCCCCACTTTGGGCTCCCTGCTCAGTGGGGAGCCTGCTTCTCCTTCTGCCCCCCACTCCCCACTCATGTTCTCTCTTTCTCTCATGCTCTCTCAAAGGAATAAATAAAATCTAAAAAAAAAAAAAAAAAAACAACCACAGAGCTAGAATCACGTATGTTGTCCTGCTGCTCAGAAACAGGTGTCATTATTGTTTTGATAAATTTACTTTCAGTACTTTTTTTTCTGGTGTCATGTTGTATGCTTTCTGCCTTTTTGTTTTCCATTTAACATTATACCGTTAGCATTTCCCCAGAATTCAAAAAACTCATCTTTAATGGCTTCATTAGGTCCCTGCCATGAAGGTTGTACCCATCGACATTACCACAGCAGTGTAGGAGGGTGCCTGTCTTTCCTCAGCATCACCAACATCGTATATTTGTCCAACTTTTCTTTATCTTTGCCACTTGATAAGGGAAAAAGAATGCGTCATCATAGTTTTAATTTTTTTTTTTTAATTTTATTTATTTGTCAGAGAGAGAGAGAGTACACATACACACAAGCAGGCAGAGAGGCAGGCAGAGAGAAAGGGGGAAGCAGGCTCCCTGCTGAGCAAGGAGCCCGATGCGGGACTCGATCCCAGGACCCCAGGATCATGACCTGAGCCGAAGGCAGTGGCTTAACCCACTGAGCCACCCAGGCGTCCCAATAGTTTTAATTTTTTAAAAAATTTTATTTATTTATTTGATAGAGACAGTGAGAGAGGGAACACAAGCAGGGGGAGTGGGAGAGGGAGAAGCAGGCTCCCTGCTGAGCAGAGAGCCCGGTGTGGGGCTCGATCCCAGGACTCTGGGATCATGACCTGAGCCGAAGGCAGACGCTCAACCAACTGAGCCACCCAGTTGCCCCCATAGTTTTAATTTGCATTTCTCTTATCTGAGTGAGGTTGTATCTTTTCATTTTTAAATATTTGTTTTCCTTACGTATTTATATTCTCGGCCTATTTATTTTTCTTTTTGGGTTGCTGGTATTCTTACTGTGTTATAGAAGCTTCTTCTATATTAAGGAATCAGGCCCTTCTCAGTGATCGGAGTTGCCAGAGTGTTAAGAGGGATTAGGCTGGTTTTGCAGGCCCCAGAGGTAATCCTTTGGATACAGAGCATACAAACAAACAAACAGAAGGAGGAAGTTCCTTTCTTCTTCTTCTTTTAAATTTTATTTATTTGAGAGAGGGAGAGAGCGAACGAGCACAGAGGGAGAGTGAGAGGGAGAAGCAGGGAGCCCAATGGGGGGTGGGGGGACTCGATCCCAGGACCCCGGGATCATGACCAGAGCCAAAGGCAGGTGCTTAACTGACTGAGCCACCCAGGTGTCCCTATTGCACTTGTTTAAACTCCCTGTAGCTAGAGAAAAGTCTCTTTGAAATTATAAATTTCCTTCTTTTTAAAAAGATTTTATTTATTTATTTGACAGAGACACAGCAAGAGAGGAAACATAAGTAGGGAGAGTGGGAGAGGGAGAAGCAGGCTCCCTGCTGAGCAGGGAGCCCAATGTGGGGCTCGATCCCAGGACCCCGG